TTTTCATCCCTCCATGTGAGTGGTAATGGGCTCAGACTTGTGCAGCTCCTGTGTGGGTAACAACTGCTTCTGGGGGCTCAAGTAGGGCAGTGACCATTTCATGACTGGAGAACAGTGCTCTATAACAGACAGTCAAAATGAAAACAGTGTTTGGATTTTTATTTATTTGTTTACTAATTTATTTATGTATTGGATAAGGAATTTTATATGGTACAATAAGAATTTGTCTTAAGATAAAATGGCTGGCCAAAATGGAAAGAAGAAATATGAAGACAAAACTAGGAACCTTAAGTACATTTCAGAAAGTCTGAGTAGATCATAAAAGATCTGTGGAAGATACAACTTAAAAGCTGGTATTTGTATGATAATTAACAGCAATTACATTTCCTAAAGTCAAAGCAGGATACATTGATGTAAAACTAGAATCTGGTCCTTTGTTTAACAGCAAGGCTTTCTTAAGTTATCCATCTGCTCTTGGTGACATTATATAAAAATGACCTTAAAAAAGAAAGTGTTGAAGGGCATCAAGGCTTGGAACCCCAACACAGGTGTTCTCAGAGACTAGGACTGCTCTTGGTCTTCGTTGGAAGAGCTTCTTTTTTGCAGCAGACAGTGGCTTGTGCAGAGACTCCAAATCACCTCCTTTCAGACTCAAGGAACACTGAGATGAATGAATAAAAAGAGCGTATGAGGCAGAGCTTGGGGAGGGTGTAGCACACTGGACACTTGCACTCAGGGACTCACTGCCACTGTGGTTTCCTGCACAAGACTTGGCCCAGCACCATTTTTTCAGTTTTAGGGGAAGAGCTAATGATATCATTCTGCTCACTGAAGGACCGTGCGGGTAGTTAATAGGTCATGGGGGAGGGAATTATAAGTTACCTATGTGGCAATAAGGAAGGCCCCCCACACACACTTACACTCATGCAAGCAACCATAATTAAACTCAGTATGCAAAGAAAACATCTAAATAGGAGGTGGCCTATTTGAGGTAAGAAGAAGGGTTTCAAGGGGAGGAGGCAGAAGTTGAAAGAGGATTATGGAAAGGGTAAAAATGACCAAAATTGAATATATAAATGTGTGAAGTGGTCAAAAAAGATACAAAGATACAAAATAAAAATAAATTTAAAATGATAAAGATTATATGTTTTAACACATCATAGTTTAACTAATGTTTTCTACAAAGTTTATAAGGCTTTTAACTATTTAAAAACTGAGTCTTATCAAAGCCCTGACTTATTTAAAGGTCCATTTGTGGGTTTTTTTTCTAAGCTTGCTCTAAATGTTTTTACAAAAGTCAAAACTAAAAATCTGATTTTAAAAAAAGGAAAACTATTCATCTGCATGTTTAGCAACAAAAATTAAGAGGACAAAGCCAATGACAAGGTAAGGGATGAAAAAGAAAGGTCATGATGATGCCAGAGGCTGGATTCTCACTAGAGTGCATTCTACAAAGAAGGGAGTAATTAAAGGGGGGAAAATCTCCTTTGCCGCCAAGGAAAACCACACAAAAAGACTCCATCTCTTCAGATGGCACAACTGGTGGAGGAAAAACTAAATATGGCAAGGGGGATCCTCCCAAGTCCCTAAAAGTAACCCCAAAGAAGCATTGACTGACTTTAACAAAAGTCTACCAAGAACTGCCCAAGGAGTCTCATTCTGACCAGGTTCAGCCAGAGGCTCTGCTGCTCATGAAGCCCTACAGTCAGGTGACTGGCCTCGGGCAATTTGAAAGGGTCAGGCAGTATTCTGACTGTGACTAAACTCCAGGGAATTACGGGCTGGGTTTTAACCTAATATGGTAGTGGAATCTGTAATCAGGGGCCTACTAATTGCTGTGTTGCTCATGTTCCTCTCTTAAGGAACTAACTCCTTTCCCAGGAAAGTCCCCCACTTGGTCCTTTGCTTGGGTATGAGATACTCAAAGTAGCCAAGAAGGGAAACTGGCTGCAGCTTGCCTATCCTGAGTAACCTGCAAACTGTCTCAAGTCTCAAAACAACCATGAGCTTGCTGCTGTGCCACCTCCTGGCAATCCTGCCCTATGTTGCCCATGGTGTTTCTCACCTCCTACCCCTGCTCCAGCCACAGACACAATAGCAACTCTAACAAAGGTGTTTACATCCAAATGCAGTATAGAATCCCTGGTTCACATAACTCCTAGGAAGTTTTTCTAGACAAATTTGAAGTTTCTTAGGTCCTATGTTCACCTTTTTTTTTTTAAACAAAATTTCTGCTCTGTGTCTTGAGTCCCTATTTATGTAGCCTGCAGATAGAACTGGTATCTTCCCAGTTACAAGGTTTTAAGACCCAGCAGTGCTGTGTCAGGGATATCAACCATAACCCTATCCCATGACCATGGATCTCCTGAGCCCATGTCACCATCTGAACTCTGGTTCATGCAATAGCTACTCTCCTTTTGTAAAGTGCCTGTTGAACAGTGCTTCTCAACTTGTGGATGGCTACCTCTTTGTGGGGGAGGGGGTGTCAAAGGAGGCCTTCACAGAGGTAGCATGTCACCTATTTACATTATTTCTAATAACAGTAGCAAAGTATGAAGTAACAATGAGAATAATTTTCTGGATGGGGGAGGTCACTACAACACAAGGAACTGTACTAAAGGGTTGCAGCATTAGGACGGTTAGGAACCACTGCTCTAGAACCTTTTATGCCATGTAGGCCCATTACTATATGAAAGATCAGCAATGTCAACCAGGGTCGGCCAACAATGTCCCCACTCAGCTCTTTCGTCAGTGGTAGCTAGTGACTGAGAAAGTTGTCACTGCTGAAGGAAAATATCCTCCAGCTCTGCTCAGAAAGGAAACTTTAGTTAAATGCAGTGGACCACAAATGAAAGAGACAAGGAAACAGTAAAACAACTTTTGGGGAAGAAAACATTTAATGAAAAAGGATAATGGGGAAGAATATGACCAAAATACATTGTATCTATCTAATGAAATTGTGAAAGGATAATTCTTTTTTAAAAAAGAAAACATTATGGAGTTCAGGGCTGGAGGTGTGGCTCAGTTGGTAGATGCTTGTCTAGCCTGCACAAAGCCCTAATTTCATTCCCAACACTGCATAAAATGCCAATAGCAGTGCATACCTGTAATCCCAGTGCTTGGGAAGTGGAGGTAGAAGGATAAATTCAAGACCAGCCTCCTATAGAGGAAGCACATTAAGTTCACTAAATAGCTCAGTGTTGTCCCTGTGCCCAGCTCAGACAGAGGAAGGGAGCAGAGGTAACGAATGGTTAACCCTCTGACTCTCTCACAGAGTGATTCTGGCTCATTTTTTTTTCTTTTCTCTTTTTTTCACCAAAGACCTTTCTTTTTCAAATCAACCTTATTAGAAGACAGACTGAAGAGGTAATTAGTTGTAAGGACAAGTGTTACAGGGGCTGTCAGCTACTTAGTCCTCACAGGTGGGTTTGTGAAGTTTTCAGTTTGTTGCCCCTCTTTTCTTGGTGTTTTTTTTTTTAGCTTTTTAAATTAACTTAGAAAAAAATTCCCCTTGTCATTTTCATTTTAGATATCACTGTACCTCCCGTCCATACATCCACTATCTTCCTCTGTCACCCCTCCCCTTCTTCCCACATCTCTCCCCAGTTCCTTCTCTGTCCCCTTACCCCTCTTCCTTTCTCCTCCTTCCGTCTCACTCCCATCCCCCACCCCTTTTCCATTCATTTCCACATCTCCCTGCCCCCTCCCACCTTCCCTGTTCTTCTCAATCCCTCCTCCTCCCCTTTCCCACTCATCCCCTCCCTCCTCGCTCTCCCACCCCTCCTCCCATCTCTACTCTCTCTCATCCCTCCTCCTTCTCTTTCCCATTTATCCTTCTCCCTCCCCCTTGTTCCACCCCTCCTGCCACCTCTATTCTCTCACACCCCTTTCCTCTCCCCTTTCCCATTCTGTCCTCTCCCTCCTCCCTGTCCCACCCCTCCTCCCATCTCTCTTCTCCTCCATCCCTTCCATTCATCCCCCTCCTCCTTGTCCCGCCCCTCCTCCCCTTCTCTTCTCCTCCATCCCTTCCATTCCCCACATTTCCCATTTACCCACTCCTCCTTGTCCCGCCCCTCCTCCCATTTCTGTCCTCTCCCATTCCTTCCATTTCTCATTCATCCCTCTCCTCCTTGTCCCACTCCTCCTCCCCTTTCTCCTCCATCCCTTCCAATTCCCACATTTCCCATTCATCCACTCCTCCTTGTCCCACCCCTCTTCCCATCTGTTCTCTCCCATCCCTCCTCCCTCCCCTTCCCCATTCTTCTCCCTCCTCCCTCTCCCACCCCTCCTCCCATTTCTCTTCTCTCCCATCCCTTCCATTTCCCATTCATCCCTCTCCCTCCTCCCTCTCCCACCCCTCCTCCCATTTCTCTTCTTTCCCATCCCTTCCATTTCCCATTCATCCCTCTCCCTCCTCCCTCTCCCATCCCTCCTCCCATTTCTCTTCTCCCCCATCCCTTCCATTTCCCATTCATCGCTCTTCCTCCTCCCTCTCCCACCCCTCCTCCCATTTCTCTTCTCCATCCCTTCCATTTCCCATTCATCCCTCTTCCTCCTCCATGGCCCACCCTCCTCCCATCTCTGTTCTCTCTCATCCTTCCCCCTCCCCTTCCCCATTCTTCTTCCTCCTCCCTCTCCCACCCCTCCTCCCATCTCTATTCTCCCCCACCCTTCCCACTCCTTTTCCAATTACCTCCCTCCTTCCCTGCTCCTCCTCCCATCTCCCTTCCCTTACCCCCTTCCTCTTTTCCATTCCCCTCCCTCCTTGCTGTCTCTCCCCCTCCTTCTGTGTTCCTCTTCTCTCCCATCACCTCCCCACACTCCATCACTTCTCCTGCTCCTCCCCGTTCCTGCTCCTGACCCACCCTCCTTTCTTCTCCCCCATCCCTCCCAACTCCTTCTCCCTCCTCCCCCTTCCCCGGTCTTTTTGTCCACGGGACTAAGTTTTAAGGTAACGCGCCTTCGATTTTTAATAATAAAAAAAAACTAAAAGGTCAGATTGATTACTTTTATTTAAAACATCAAGTTATTGAAAGGATAATTTTGTGTAAATTGTCCCTTAGGAGCAATTATAGACCTGAGGAAAGTCTCTCTAGATGTTGACATGGAAGGACTCCTCGATGGCAATTTGATACTGGGTTTCCTCATCCAGCTGAAGATTCACAAAATCTCCATAATCAAACTGATGCCTCTGATTAAGATGGGCAACAAAATTTCTGGTAAGTTGAGTAGGGTCACCCCACGGAAGAGATAGACAAATGGGACAAATGACTGGAACAACATGACCTCGGTGGCTGCGGTTGCAATGATCCAGCAAATGTTGTCTGGTCATGCTCACTTCTTCACACAGAGGACAATCGAAAGTGGGCTGATCAGGTGGGCTCACGTTGTCATCCTCTTGAAAAGCCTCGGCATTCTCTGCGGCTGGTGCCTGGTTGTCACTGTTGCCCACGGTGTCTGGAGACAGTTGGAATCCTGAAGCAGGTATAGAAACTCCAAACTCATCTTGGTACTTTTCGCAAGTTTTGTAGTGCTGCCTCATGCGAATGAGTTCAACACGTTGGGAACAGCATCGGCAATTACCAGGAAAACTTCTCATGATGGTTTCGAGGTCTAGAGCCCTCTCTGGACAAGCTCGTTCTCTCCTAGTCACATTCCCACGGCACAGCGGGCAGTGGATCCGGCTCTCCTTCATTGCAGTAAGGAAACATTTTCTGCAAAAAACGTGTTGACACGCCGCGATGCGAACTGGCGTTTTGAAGACTTCTTGGCATATCGGACAGTAGAAATCATCTTCTGTGTAAGATGTAGAGGCAGACTCTTCCTCGGCCATGGTAGTGACGGGTGGAGGCCCAAGGCGATGGCGGCTCGCAGCTGCTGAGGTGGCTGTGGCGGCCCGGAGCTCCCCTCCGGTTCCTCTCCAAGCGGCGCTTTAGGTCAGGCTGTCTCTCTTCCGCGGCTGATCGATAGACAGGTGGCCCTCTGCCGCGGTCCGATTTCAGTACCTTTCAGTTCAGCAGGTGACTGCGCTTCGGAGCAGTGAATTCCCAGCGTATGATGGGTGAGGCTCTTGTTCTTATGTGCCTCAGAACCCACCAGACCCGAAGCTCATGGTAACCCGGATCCCTCCCACTCAGCCATCAGCTTTCCTGAGGTTGAGTGCAGGCTGCTGCCAGGCTGGTTGGTGGTCAATGCGGAGTGGATAGCCACACGAGAGCCGGAGGCGGGGTCAATAGGACGGCCTCCATAGCAACCAGCGCGTCGCGCCTTCAGCTGGTTGTGACGTAAGCTGCCAGGTCCGCTTACTTTACCAAGATTTTTTTTTTAAGTCCAGCTGGGCCTGGTGGTGCAGGCTTGTAATCCTAGCCAGAAAGGGAGGCTGAGGCAGCACAATCGCGAGTTCAAGGCCAGACTGAGAGATTTTGGGACCCCCCCCTGTCTGGGAAGAGGAAAAAGAGATCTCCCAGCACAGCTCAGTGATTCGGTTGCGTGAGCAAGATACTAGATTTAATCCCTACATCTTCATAAAGTCCTTCCAGTACCTAAGAAATTATTTTATGTAGCCAATTTTATGTACCACTGCTATCGTAATTATTCTATGTGGCCAATTAAGGACCACTGCTATCAGGCTACTGTGTTTAACAGCATATTGGCTCTCCTACATGTACCAAGTTTCTTTACTCTTCAGCAACACACTAGCCATGCCACTTTTAAAGGGCCAATAAAGAGCTAAGTGCATAATTAAAAATTCCTAGAAGGGCTATTGCCTTCACTAATTCAGTTTGTCAGTCCTCTCCTTTCATTAATGGGAACTGAGAAACTTATCAGTCCTTAAACTAGACAGGTGAGGTCCGTACATCCAAGGCAGAATTCTGCAAGCTAAATAGCTAATCTCTTACCTGACGCCTGCTCTAGGATTTTTCCCATCTGTTCTACAAACCCAAGCAAGGAATTGTACAATGTTAATTATGTATGAGCTTGAGAAATTATCTACTCAGAGGCCCAGGCAGATGAAATATTTTCTCTCATATCACCCAACAAATTAGTGATGTCCTAGATGTTTTTACAATAGCAACAGCCTTACCCTTCGCCATCACCATGCACTTCTGAATTTCTATTCAGTGTCCCTAGTCACCCAGAGCCACAGGTAGTGATAGCGCAGATCTTCAGGAGACTTTATTTTTATTCACTTAAAAAAATTCTCACCCAAGCATTAGCTAAAAATATAGCTTTTCAGCATTGCTGCCTGTCTTTCTACATGGCACCACCTATGGTCCTGAGCATTCCCCTGAGGGTGCTCAGGTATGCTAAATCCAAAAGGTGAACACACATATACAGAGAGAGAGAGAGAGAGAGAGAGAGAGAGAGAGAGAGAGAGAGAGGAAGAAGTGTTGAAGTACAAAAGACACTAAAAGACAGGTGATCCCAGTCCAAATTTGCCTCTTACCTGACTTTATGCGGACCATGAAACACCAAGAACCTCTGATTGCTCATCTGTAAAATGGCTCCATGGGTTGCAATTGAAACAGGTCATAGACTTCTGGAAATATCGGATGAGATAAGTGTTTATAAAGCTATCTCAAACCTGTCCTCACACTCACAATGCTTGTCCCTGTTTTGACAGGTTACTAGATGTGCCTATGAACTCAGGGGGGGAGAGAACAGAGCCAGAGACACACCACAGATGATTTCTCTGTGGAACTATTTCCTAGCAAACAGTGTCTTATTAACCAGCCACCCAGTGTGTCATACATAGATTTCACAACTTACCCACATCCTGTAGGATGTGTAAAATAATTGGCCCATAATATTTCTAAAATGTATTCCAGGCATCTCTGGATTTATGACATACATATGGATTTCTACCATGGAGACTGAATCCTCCCAGCATCAATGGTGCATCCACCCAGACTTCAGGCTCCCATCACTCTTTCAAAAATCAAAAGCCTTGTTAGGAAATGCAAGGCTCTAAGCATAAGTGATAGGAGCAGTATTCCACTGTTAACCTGGAGGAGACAGCTTAATAACCACTGAGAATAAGCTTGGGATTTCTCTTCTCTGGCCCAGAGAATACAAACGGTTCCAGATTTGCTATTCAACTTCAGGAAGGTAGCATTGCTGCCACCACTATTTTAAATGGCACTGCAAAAGGAGCTTTCCTACCCCCAATCTAAAGAGAGCAGAAAGGAGGGAGAACTGGATCAAGCAGACAGCAGTGGCTGCCACTGCAGTTGTCCTAATTCTTCACTAGCTCACATCACAGAAAACAGGAAAAAACTGCTCTCCCATATTTCCTTGATGCTAAGGATTACTACTTCACTTCCAATTGTGTGTGTGTGTGTGTGTGTGTAAAGTGAAAACTGTAAAGTAAAAAGACAAACAATTCAATGAAAATGGCCATAGACCTAGATGTGTAGCCCTAGAACTCAAGAGGCTAATACAGGAGAATCAGCATGAGTTTAAGACCAGCCTAGCCTATATGGGGCAAGACACTGTCTGGAGAAAAATAAAGAAGACAAATAGACAAAATGTTTGAACAAGTGCTTCACCAAATAAGATATACAGGTGGTGAATAAGCACATTAAAACACAGCCAACATTGTTAGTCCTTTGACTAGGCAAGTTCAGACCATAATGAGATACTACTATGCAACTATTAGAAAGATCAAAACAGGGGCTAGAGGCACCTTAGCAGTTAAGAGCACTTACTGCTCTTGCAGAGGACTTAGCCCCCAACACCCACAGGGACAATAACATCCACAGTAACTCCAATTCCAAGGGATATGTCTTCTGATATCCATGGGGTCCTGCACACATGTAGTTCACTGGCAGACACTATGACACAGACACATATAATAAAATAGTTTTTAAAGACTGTTCCAATTTTATGCAACAAAATCTGATACTATGAAGTGCTAGAGTCAGGATAAGGAGGAGCCAGAACTGTCATCCTTGGCTCTAGGCTCTGAAATGTCATGGGGAACACTCTGTGGTGGTTTCTTATGATGTCAAACTTACATTTAACACACAACTCAGTAAATCTGACTTCTGGGGATTTTTCCAAGGCAATACAATCTTATAATGCACACAGAACTCTGCCTTGGCCATTTATATTGGCCTTATTCGTGACTGGCAAAAGCTGGTGTCTTCCATTACAGAATATATAAGCAAACTGTGGTATAGCCATACAGTAAATGCTACTTGGCAATAATATAGGACAAACAATCAAGAAATGCCACAATGTGAATGAATTCTGAGTAGTGGGTGAAATAGGCCATATCAGGCTACATCCTCTCCAATGACATCATGGAGAGAAAAACAGCAACAACAAAAACCAGAAACAAGGAGCTGGGATTAAGGAAGAGAATAATTAGAAGCAGGCAGCAAGGTCCCCAGCACAGGGACTCATGGCTCAAGGCTGTAATACCAATGCTTAGGAGGCTGGAGATCACAGTGAGCTCAAGGCCAGCCTGGGCAACATAATGATTTCTGGACTGAGCTACAGTATGAGACTCATCATCATCATCATCATCGATAAAAGACGACACCAAAGTAAAAAAGAGACTGTCAATAGGAAAAAAGGGAAACAATGTGGGGAAGCAAAAAAAAATAAAAGTCAAAAGTACATGACAGACATGCTCGTATAAGGACATCTTCATGAAATCTATCACTATGTAAAATTAGTATATATTTTAAAAACACTATGATATCAAAGCCAGTGGCCTGGAGATGTGGCTCAGTGATAAAGTGCTTGCTTAGCTTGCCTGAGACTCTGGGTTCCATCCACAGTGCTAAAACAGCAAAGCAAAACAAACAAACAAACAGAAAGGCTAGACACCGTGGGGCACGCCCATAGATTCAGCACTTTGGGGACTGAAGTAAGGAAAAGAAAGAAGGGAGGGGAAAAGGAAGGAAGAAGGGAGGGAAAAAAGAAAGGAAGGAGTAAACAGAAAAGACAAGAGGAAGGAAAGCAGGCAGAAAGGAGCTTTTTGTGGTATTGGCAATGTGTATCTTGTTAGTCACAGTAGTTACAGGACTGTGTGACATACTAGGTCATGGCAGCTGCATGCATTTGTCAAATCTCATAGCCCAAGACAAGCCCCAAAAGGTAGTATTCCCCTACATATAATTTATTGCTCAGGAAAAAAGAAAAGAAAAACAAGGAGGGAGACAGACAAGAAATAAAAATCAACGTGTAAAACTGCAATCCAGATTTTTTGTCTTGTAAAATGCTGCCCACAACACTATAATTATTCAGTTTATTTATCTGCAAGGACAAATATGCCATTTCCGGTACTGTGATTGAGGGCCCTGAAATAGCCTTGAAACATCATGTGGACAAAATCCCTTGTACGTTTGGACCATGATTTTACAAGAGAGGACGAGCAAAGCAGCTGCTTTTCTGTGCTGCTGAAAGGTGCTGGATGTAAAAACCCTGTTAGGAGGCTTGAGGCCGGAGCTCTGGAAATCTTAATTTAAGAGACACAGGTGGGCTGATGATGCCCTCTGAATAGAAGGCAGGAAATTTTGCACAGCTTTGTTCAAGCCGGTGAGTCATTTTGAGTGAATCTGTTCAGAACAGCAATTCCTTAGGGCAGCGGGCATCACTCATTACTGAGGCTGGGAAGAAATGCCAACCCACTCAGAGGCACAGCTTTCTCCTCTGGCCTTCTAAACCTGAAAACAGGCGTGTTCTTATCCTTCAGCCCTTCTCCCTCCCCCGATCAGGCCTCTCTATCAAACACAGATCTCTAAGTGCCTGTTTTGTACTGAAAGGCTGGTCATCTACAGCCTGGAGAGACAAAAAGGCTGAGGAGAAAAGCAAACCCCCCACACTCTTAACAATGGAACCCTAACTGCTTGGAGCCTGCCTCAGTGACTTGTGATAACCTTACAAACCAGTAAGAGCCTAACTCCTAATGAACCCTGGTGCAGAACCTCAAATGTCTAAAGGAGGAGAAAGGCTGTTAGAAATCTTGCTTCCTGATACCTGCAAGATGGCTCAGCTGGTAAACATGTTTGTAGGCAAACCTGCTTAGCTAAATTAGAACCTTTGGGGGAGGGT